TTGTACTCCCATTTCAAATAAACGCTTGTCCTGCTCTTCCAAGTGTCTGCTAGGTAGTTTCATATACACTGCGCCGTTCAATTTTCCCTAGCATCCGGATCCATCCTACTGACCCATCTTCCTGTGCACTTAACCTTGTTTCTAGCCTGTTAACCTCATCGGCTGAATGTTTTTCAGACATTGTAAGTTTGGTATCATTTCTCTCGTGTTTATTCCTCAGTGTAAGGCTTATTTATTTTAATGTATCTTATTCTTATTTATGTGTATGTAGGGGTGGTGCCTGCAGAGGTCAGAAAAGGCTATCAAATCCCTTGGAGCTAGATTACAGATGGTTGTGAGTCACCCGACCTGGGTGCTGGAAACCAACGTCCTTTGGAAGATCAGCAAGTGCTCCTGACCTCTGGGCTATCCTTCTAGTTCTTCTAGGACTTTTTGTTTGTTTTTTAAGACAGGGTTTTTCTGTGTAACAGTCCTGGCTGTCCTGGAGCTCGCTTTGTAGACCAGGCTGGTCTCAAACTCACAGAGACTCACCTGCCTCTGCCTCTGCCTCCCGAGTGCTGGGATTAAAGGCATGGGCCGCCGCCGCCGCCGCCGCCGCCGCTGCCGCTGCTGCCACCACCACCACCTCCACCACCTGGCTTAGTTCTTCTAAGTCTTTTTTTTTTTTTTTTCTTTTTGTGGAGCTGGGGACCGAACCCAGGGCCTTGCACTTGCTAGGCAAGCGCTTTACCACTGAGCTAAATCCCCAACCCCTAGTTCTTCTAAGTCTTAAGATTTAATCACTGTCTTAAAAAAACCAATCTATATGGGATCAGGGAGAAAGCTCAGCGGGTGACCTGAGAAATGGAGAGAACAAACTCCTGTGTCTCCCGTGTGCGTATCATGGCACCCCCCTCCCTGTATAGTAAATACAGTCATTTAGAAAAGAATCTCTATGAAGAATTTGGGAGCTTTCTTCCCTAGATGCCGCCTTCTCTGTGGTTCATCTTTCAAATGTGCTCTTGCAGCAGGCAGCCCTGAATTCCTTATTCCTCTGCTCAGAATGCAACTTCCTCTTCGGTCCGCTATTCCCAAAGCACCGGGGGAATAGGAAGTGCTCTGAGGGAACTAACACAGGGGGTGCTGGGTCAGGAGATGTCCTCCTGTGAGGTCACACCAGCCGCCTCCAGTGCAGGCACCCAGTGAACCAGCCACACACAGTCGACTTTCTCACTCACTACCTAGCTGTGAACTGCTCACCTGTGGTTTTGGTCTCTTTACAGTATTTCTTGTCTGGGATTCCCCTTCCTCCAAAAGTACCCGACAGTGCTCAACTTCAAACGAAATATACATTCATCAAAAGTGGTATTTCTGAACAATTTGTTTACATTTTATGTGTATGGGTGTTTTACCTGGTTGTGTGCCTGGTACCTGTAGAGGCCAAAAGAGATTAGGATGCCCTGGAGCTGGAAATGGCTTAGTGGTTAAGAGCACTGGCTGCTCCTGTGGAAGACCTAGGTGTGGTTCCCAGCACCCATGTGGTGGCTCACAGCCCATCTAGAACTCCAGTTCCAGGGCATCTAGTGTCCTCTTATGTCTCCCGAGGGTGCCAGGCACAAACAAGGTAAGCATACATACTATAAGCAAAACACTCATGCACATAAATAAAAACAGCATTTTTTAAAAGTATATAGTAAAATGGCTGTGAGACATCATGTGGATTCTGGGAATCGAACCCAGGTCCTCTGGAAGAGCAGTCAGTGCTCTTCACTGTTGGGCCGTCCACCTCTCCAGTCCCTTGAACAAATTTTATCTCAACAACAAAACAAGGTATGACAGATGTTGAAGAAAAACTCCAAACTACATCTAATGCCAAGTAAATGTCAAATGTCAAGCCCCAAACTTTGTCTAATGTAGGTATGTAGAACCCCAGAGGTGTGTATGCATGCACATCTAACATAAGAAAATTAACAAAACTGTTAATTGGTTAGTCTAGATCATAGGACTATCTTAGAAGCTTTTTCACATTTTAAAACCAATAAAAGTACTAATAGTTATTTGCATGTAATGGTATTATATATTTTATTTCATATTTTTTAATATTTATTTTTATGTAAGTTTTTTTTCCTTCAGTATGTGTATGCGTACCTTGTTTGTACCTAGCACCCACAGAGGACCGAGGAGGACACTTGATCCCCTGGAACTGGAGTTAACAGATGGTTATAAGCCACTATGTAGGTGCTGGAAACTAAACTCAGGTCAGTGTTCTTAACCACTGAGCTATCTTTCCATCTCCTATATTCTTCTTTTTAAAAAACATTTTTCAGATTTTCTAAAATACAATACCACATTTTTAAACAAAAAACGTTGTATAACAGAAAGTTGTCCATAGCCTAAGAAGAGTTATTCTGTCCACTGATCATGAGCATAGTGGCCTCAAACTCCGGAGCTTTAAAAGTTACTTCAAATGGTAAGGTTCAATTAATCAAACAAACAGGAAACCATGGGCGGAGAGAAGGCTCGCTGGTCACTGACTGAGACTGAGCACTGCCCTTGCAGAGAGCCTGAGGTGCTGCCAGCATCCATGTCAGGAGGCTCACAACCCCTCTAACTCCAGCTCCAAGGCATCCAATGCCTCTGGTCTCCACGCATACCCACAAACACATAATTTAAAAGATGTCTTTATAAATATAAATAATGTAGGGGCCACAGAACAACAGCAAATCATAATAAAAGTCAACCATGCAGGAATCGAGTGGAAAATGAGTTTAATTGTGAGACTGGGCAGTGTACAGAACAGTTTCACCCACTGATTTTGACAGTGCATCACCAACGCACACATCTGGAAATATCTGGTTCTAGTTTCTGCCTTCCAAATCCTTCATAATTAGGAAAAACCTGTTAAGAAAATTTTAAAATGATTTTTCCAAAAGGTTTTCATAAGCTTCATGACATTTTTTCTGACCACACAAAGAATGTGTCTTGATTAACAAGTTTGTACAATCTCGGCTTGTTAATACTGAACAATCATGACGAAGACAAGCTCCCAAAGAAAACCCTTCCATGTTACCACCGCTAGCAGACCACGCTGAAACCTTTAACTCATCCCCACCTTGGCGTAAATACCTCCTAAAGGGCCTTTATCCATTTATTTAATTTCCCAATCATAGAAATCAACACAGAATATTTCCAAACCCATCATAAATGCCAACATTGTATCTTTTATTTTCTATCATGTAACTTTAAACCTCAAGACATCGATAGCTAACAGAGTAAAACATTCAGCATGAAAAGACAGTACTATGCTCAAGTCTGCAGATCAGTCCATCGAGGTGACGGAATGCAGTGTGCCATTCTAATATCAACTCCTCTTTTGTTCTTTGTAACGACAGTTCAAGTGTATTTTTAAAATGTTTCACTTGTAAACAACATGAATCAAAATGGACAATGAGGCAATCAACTACAAGATAATTTTAAAATACTAGACAAAACACTGTATTAAAGACATATAGAAATCAGGGTTCACTTTGGTCTTTATATGGCTAGAGTTGTTAACACCACAAAACCACACACACACTAATTAAAGCCAGCTTGGTGGTAGGTGCCTGTGGCTGATAAACAGTGACTGACGAGGTAGTCCACACCATCCTTTTCAAGCTGGGAACTGACAGGGGGTAAGCCACAAGTATATTAAATACTGGAATACTTTCTTACAGTACAGTGCGTTGCTCCAAGCATAAAGATCCACAATGAGCCATAGGTCACCCTATCACACTAATGAACAACTAGGTCACAACTCACACAGGCACATCTTGAAGAGGCTGTTGACAGAATGTAAGAAAGAACTGGATGCTTTCAACAAGTTGTTCTTTTTCTAAAACAAATAAATCTCATTAAGACATCTAGAAAAGTAAAGTCGGCACAGCTGCACTTGCACATAGTTTCCTGGATTTTATACCAAAGGTGAAACTACATATATATTTTAAGATAAACATTTCTTAGAGAGAACAGATAAATTAATTTAAATTAACTTTAAGACTTAATGAGATTTCCCCACATCCTGGCTAATTCATCTTACAGTGAATGTTACAAAGTCTATTAACACTTGGGGGCTTCTATTCACACACTACATACAACCAGCGGCAACTCAGGCCTGCACTGGTGCAAAATAAATCTGAGCCGGAGTACAAAAATAATTGGCAATAAAAACATCCTATATTTGGGAGGTGGACTGATGCTAATAATGTGATGTCTTTATCTTTTCCTTTAGATTGCACACTAAAATTTCCATGTTATAAGCAGATAAAAATCTTCCTAAATCTTTCATTTGTAAAAATACATCCAAAGAATAGAAATGCAAGTATAAAAATGTCTCCACTATGGCCTGCTGTGTAGAGAATGAATAGTTCACAGGCTAAAAGGCTGGTAGTACACCATTTTCAGGAATTACATTTGTGTTGACATGGGGGGGGGTGGCTCAATTCATAGACCATCGCTGCACTGTTAGGAACCCCTGAAAAAATGGTGCTCCACAGACCCTTCCTCCTGGCTGGCGGGGGCCCTGCACCCCATGTTCCCTCCATGGCAGCTGGTGCTGGTTAGTTATGTGCCTGGGGATGGAATGCTGCAGTGTGCTTTGCCTTCAAGACAGCAGATACCAGTGGAGGGTAGGAGTCTTCATTCGCTTGTCAGCAAAAGACAACACCACGTTTGCTCTGTTAGCCCTCCTGCCCCCAGCTCTGGGCAACAGAGCTGTTGTCAAGACTATCTCTGTGTGGTTTTGCTTGGGATAAAGAGTGCCTGTATTTCCTCAAACTCAATACATGATAACTCTAAGGAAATGCTTGGAGACTTTGCTATCTAACATGAGAAGTCCTATTATTCACAGGCATTTCCCAGAAACATGCAGTTGTAAATGCCTATCTATGCTACAGATTAAAAGTGTCTGTACCAGAGAATTACCAGCAGCCTCTAAGGCTGCAGCAGCATCAAGGTGTGCTATGTAGGGGCTAGGAGGTAGCCATGTGCTGTAAACAGAATGTTTCACTCAAGTGGATGAGCAAAGTGCTCACATCAGTGGATTCACATCTACAAGGAGTAGGAGTTTTGCTTTACAAGGCTCTTCACGTGACATAAAAACAGGAGGACCAACATCGGATACTCAGAATTATGATCAATGTCAGACTCAGAGGTAGTTACCAACAAGTACATGTACATACATAAAGACCTAATTTATTTGGCTTGTTTTGAGTAAGCAGGACTATAGACTAGTCTGTAAAGAAACAATAAAAACATTATATTGTATGTTCCCTGAGCAAAATTCTTTGTCCTGAGCATGTAATAATGACAATATTTTCATATAAAAAATAAACCCCAACTTTTAATCATAAGATAGGTTTGGTATGTGCTCTTAGTAATTCCATCTGGTCAGATGCTGAAAAATGTCAACTGCACCCATAAGGTCCATAGTTCAAGTGTTTCAGAATTTTCTACTTTCATTTTTAAAAATGATCTCAGCTCTGATTTTTATATGTAAACAGAATGTCCAATTTTCAAGTCCATAGTTTCCTATTTTTATAGTCAAGGAACTTTGGTTTGAACTTTCAAAGTGACCTATCCTATTTTGCTTGTACAAGTGTTACTTTGTTCATTATACTTGGGTGACACTTTGATTTGTCTACATAATTGAAATCCTCACGTAAGGCAAGGCAGTACTTCTCTATGGCTACATCACATTCAATATCGTCAACAGTAAGCTCTGCATTACAGCACAATGATACGTCAATAAAACACTATGGAAATTCTCATAAATACTGTCAAAAGAGTCAAGCTAACCTGGAAAGGACTGGCATACAGGAGGAAGAAATTCCTCAGTAGAATGCATCTCATTTGAGTCATGATGCTTTCTTGTTTGATTATCTGAGCTTATACCAACAGGCCCATATAAAATTATATTTATTGCCAAAATTATTCACTGTAATTCCTTGGTACCTTCTTGGAGATGTTTCAAAAGTTTGCTCATCACATTTAGAACTAGGCTAACTCCATTTTTTTTAAACATGATGGAAAACAGACCTATACTATGATCAGTCCCTAGCCAATCTGTTAGCAAACTGAGACTTCATCTGACAAGATTACTAGTAGCCCTGAATGCTCATCCTGAATCCATAACTTAGGTTACTTCATCCTCTATGCTCAGGGTAACTGCCATCAGTGTTATCACATAAAGCACTCCCAGCCACATGGCGGGGAGGGATTTGGTAACTGCTCCTGGCTCGTCATGCTAGCTGCCGGCCACCAGACACTATTCTTTTCAGTATCAGTCCTGGGCTGTATCTGCTGGGCAGTGTGAGCATCTACTTACTTTTCACTCTAAGCCCCACTATTTTATTCACTTCTATGGTGCTATTGTTTGTTTTAGAAACAGGTCTGAGGACTCTATGGGGGGAATAAAAACAGTCACCAAAATATACCCAAATATTTAGTTTCCTCTAAGGCTTCAGTAGTAAGTAAGGAGACCTTCCCGTTCTAAGTGATAGTTCAGAAGCTGCTTAGTCAAGAGAGGCTTCTGTTGCCATGGTCCCTTAAACAACTCGGAAACATGTAAAAGAGCTGGTACCAAAATACCGCTGAAAAGGATCATACCATGATATTTATACATTACCTTCCCCTTCATTTTTCTTAATAGGCATGTAAATTACAATCAAAACAAAAAACAGTGAAATATCAGCCCAGAAACTTCACATTCGTTGTCTCTTCTGGAGTTGTTACGTAGCTAACAGTGAAAAGCTTACGGCAGCCAGAGGCATTAAAGTTAGGTTACCACCTTCAAACAGGAGAAGGCAGAAAACAGCAATAGCAAAACACTCCATCAGCACCAGGACACATGATGAATCCAGACTCTGGAGGCACCAAGTATCCCCAAACCTTTAGTACCATTTGACTGGCAGTCTGAGATCTGAAACATGCTTTGGTTCACATGAAAGGTAAAGGCCGGAGGTTATTTTTAGGTAATATAAAAGAAGTGGTATTTAGGAAAAATTCCAAGGGTTAATTCTGAAACCACCTCAGATGCTTCACATGGACTTTCAATGCTTGGAGATGCTCAATTATCTGAGGGGGAGTATGTGCTTATATCTCCATACATACATGTATAAAGACAGGCACATACATATATGTATGTATGTGTATATATGTATATGCCTACGTTCCTATGTGAAACCCTCACACACACACACACACACACAGCCTCAAGTTTCCCCTCTCACTTACGCACATACTATATGTAGTATCTCAGTTCTATAAAACATGACACCCTGCTTCAATGTCATTTGCTTAGGAGTGATTTGTCTGGTTAAAGAATCCACAGTTCCTCAACAGTAGTTAATGACGTCGGCTGCTCTCTGGAATACTATCCCTGTGCTTGCGTGAGGTAGACTTCCCAAGCGGGTGAAGAAGACGCTGACAAGCACTAAGTCTTTTTCCGTTTTTGAATCGAAGGCCCCTTTTTGTTCTGCTCTTCTGGTGCTGCAAAGGCCTTCACAGAAGAAACTTCTTGGGGTGACCTGTCTGGCGGCTCTGCCGTCTCTGACCTCGCCTCCTGAGGAGAGGGTGAAGTGCAGCCACGCGCCCCGCCCCCTTCCCTCGGTGAAGCAGAGGTGCATGGCTGGCACTCCGCCTCCTGTCTCCCCTGAGAACTGGGGGGCAGCTGGGCGAGGATTCTGTGTGGGCAGTTGGCCACCATGTGCATGATGCTCTGACAGTAATGGCACTTCTTTGGCTGCGGAGGTAGACTACATTCTTTAGCATGATGGTCAAGGCCACCACAGTTGTAGCATCTGCAAAGAAATAGGAGAAAAACATCTTAAAAGTAGGTAGAGTGTATAACTAATGGAAAAAAAAAAAACAGTGATTATTAAAACAACAATTTACATACATATCAATTTTAATTACCAAAGTTCAAAAGCTGTCAACGAGATCAGTTTATTTTAATGTGACTTCTTTATATGTTCTATTTACACTGTTTATACTGATTGCTTCGAGGATTACCATCATCAAAATGCTCCAGCCACTTTATAAATTAGTTGTATGAAACAACAGCCAGCAAAAGAGGGGGGGGGGCACCCAAACCTGGCATTTCCATAAAGAAACGACTCACTCAAATGTAGTGGGGCTGTCGTGAGAGAATAGCTTAACCCACTAGGTGGCAGTCAACAATAAATCAGAACTCCAACAGCGGGCTTTAAAAATGAGTATAAAAATATAGCTGTTTGCCATGGTAGGACTTAACTTGCTCAACATTTAGAAAAATTGTAGCCTAATTGAGTTTTAGGACTTAAAGACTTCAGTGTTTATTAGTTTATTCACAGAAGCTACTAGAACTGAGATACATTTTTGCTGTTATATAAAATTTTGAAGGAAATTTGATACCTACGCTGTCTAGTAAAACAGACACAAAAACAAAACTGGTATCTAATGAATCACTCAGTGTGAGGCTCCACAGTGCGAGTCCAAACCATAGCAACGCTGCACAGAAGAGCCGAGGACGGAGACCAAGTCAGTTTGCTCTGATGCTGTTGGTGACTGGAAAAGTTGCCCTTCCCTACAGAAAGTAGCTTTCCCTCAGAGAAAACGTTCCTGACTTGAAGTAAGCATAAACCTCGTTCTTATTTGTTATTTAAATCTGAGTAAAGAAATTCATTTGCTCAATTTCAGTCATAGTTCCCTTTTTCAAACCACAGTTCTAACAATGGAGACACGGGCCGGAGGAAGGCTCAGAAGTTCAGAGCACTGACTGCTCTTCTGGAGGACCCGGTTCAATTCTCAGCAGCACAGGGAAGCTCCTAACTGTCTGCAACTCCAGTTACAGGAAATCCCACACCCTCACACAGACATAGACACAAACAAAACACCAATGTATGTGAAAAATAAAAAGGAATTATCAAAAAATAGAGGCCCTAAGAAGCACTCGTATTTTAAAGTTTTGATCTGAGTCTTAAAGATAGAATTTGCTCATTGACTTGTTTCAAATCAACTGTTTTGAGAAGTTTTTATATTAAATTACTTTCTAAGTACACTTACAATTCCATAATTCTCATTATAAAGCATATTGTAAATCAGTGTTTTTTAAAAAATGAAGAGCAAAATATGTGATAGACGTAAAAGGTAATTTAAGACCATATGACAACAAAAAAATATGACTAATTATTTGTATGTTGAGAACACCAAGCTTAGTAACTTATTTTACATTTCAAAGACAAACTAATTATTAGTAGCATAACAAGCACCGCATGTGGACACTAAGTATTTTATTTTCTGGAATCAGCCATAAATTAGCAGAAAGTTAACCATGCTCTGCTTCTCCATTTGTCAATGTTAGTGTTTATTTCTTTGTTTAATGTATATGTATGCTATATAAGTATGTATGACTTTATGCCAGAAGAGGGCATCAGATCTCACTATAGATGGCTGTGAGCCACCATGTGGTTACTGGGAATTGAACTTAGGACCTCTGGAAGAGCAGCCAGTGCTCTTAACTGCTGAGCCATCTCTTCAACTACCTGTCAATATTATCTTACAGAACAGACAGGATGGGATTCTATCCTTTGTAATAATCAATAGGCATTTATTTATCTTACTAATCCAGTTACTTGCGGCTCAAACACACAACATAGTAAATTAGCAAGCTCTGCCATTGAGATACAAGTACCCCACACATGACCTGAGAAGATAAAAGGAAATGAGGAAAATTACCAGCCAAAGCCTGAAATTCAGGCCTCAAAACAGACCGGAAAATATCACCTATGAATATGACCACATCACTTACTCAACTGCTTGCCCATATACTTTTCTTCTATAATGAATAGAGAAATTCTTAAATTAAAATTGTCTTTTGCCCACCTGTAAGATATCTTTTTTTTTTTTTTCATTACGTTCACGTCCTGAGGTCAGAGTACATCTAGGAGCTCCTTTTCAAAGACAGAAATGTCTTTGGCAGACTCCAGGAACAGAGCTGTCTGTCCTGCACGCACAGCAGCTTCAGTCACTGGATATGCACTGCCTTCTCCAGTTCAGGGAGCCATTCTGCTCACCCACTGAACAAGGGCCTGGGTGTCAGAACTCTGTGTTTACAGATGGAGTCTTAGATCATCATGTTTTGTGTGCCTGATTATAAAAGATACTTTAAAGAAAGACACACAATTTTAGTTTCCCTGCATTTCAATGTACATATTTACCTGTTGGACTTCTCAGGTATGTGTTAACATTAGACCCACGGGCTTCCACACTGGATGATGAGCATGCACTGTATGTATGTGTAGCCTCAAAAGGGGGAAGCAGTATTTATTTCCCTCTTCTATTAAAGCAACAGCAATTGCTTTTACTAAGGACACAGATCACAGCCCATTATGAAACCCATCCATCCCAAGGGAATGACATAAAAATGTTCATGTTCAGCTGCATTTCAGCTCATAGATGATACCATAGCCACACGTGTGAAACATGCTGTACGTGGGTCTAGACCTCTTTGTTCACACTTTATACTTCTCCAGATCAGTTTGTTTTTGTTAATCAGAATGGATTTTATATTATGATGTGGGTATCAAAATATTTAGTAATCACACACAGCTGCAGACCTAACAAACACAGGGCATGAAGTGTCATGATCAAAGGACTATACAAAGAAAACTATGTCACACTGCTGCAGGTTCCAACAGCCTGGCCTGAAAATTAAAATGATCTGTCTGTCTAGCATGCAGGAGACCTTGGAACAGATCCTCAGCGGTGTTTAAGAAAATAAACCAAATAAATCATCTATGTTCAGTATGTTATAAAATGCTGAGCCAATGGCACTAAGCAGACTTTCTTATACATTAAGAATAAAGGTTAACAAAAATGTCCAATTTAACTTTAGAACATTAAGTCCTTTGTGGAATCATTTGATAGATACTTATACTCCAATGAGGCAGCGCCCATTCTATAAGCATTACTTACTATAATTTAGAAGATTTTAAAGATAGAAGATTAATAACAGTCAATATTTTTAAGACTACCAAATTAAGATTAAAATTTTTAATTGAGAATTCCATTAGTAAATGGAACAGAAGACCTAAGATGGCAAAATTAAACAAACAAAAAGTTCACAAATCTCTTAAGCCTTTCAAAATATTTATTCCAATGCATTAAGAAATAAGCAATTGTATATGTACATATATATGTTAAAAGCATATCCAAACTTCTGTTATTTCTGTTTTTAAAAATGAAAACTTTGATTTGGGAATCAGAATTTAGATGTAACTATTACTCTTAGGAAATTTATTTTAATCAAGTAAATGAATAAGTAAATTGTATTTTTTTCTTTTAGAAAAGATTAATTTACCGGGCTAGAGAGAGAAGTCGGTGGTTAAGAGCATGTACTGCTCTTACAGAGGATACAAGTTCAGGTCCCCATGTTTGGAGGGCTCACAACCTCTCTAACTCTAGCTCCAGAAGGATGGGACACTTGTGGCCTCTACTGGCAGCTGAACTCACTTGCATAGACACATACATACATACATACATACATACATACATACATACATACATACATACCTAAAAATAAAATCTTCAAAAAGGTTTGTGTTTGTGTATATTGATGTGAGCCTGTATGAGTATGTGTGCACCGTGTGTGTACAGGTGCCCACAAAGGCCAGAGATGTGAGATCCACCGGAACCAGAGTTGCAGGCAGTCCAGAGCCACTTAATGTGAGTGCTGAAAACAAAACCCAGGTCCTCTAAAAGGTCAGCAAGTGCTTTTAACTGCTAAGCCATCTCCAGCCCAATAAACTGTACTTCCAAATATCAGCCATAATGATTAGAACTGAGCTAAACTGGGAGTATTACATTAAAATGCTCTTTTGTAAACAACACTTCAATACCTATAAAGTCTTTATTACTTGTATGTTTTCCCTTGGCTCCAAAAGGGATTTTTAAAAAAATCAGGGAGTAGTTATACTATAGACATCCAGGTGACTATCTAAAAATTTTATGGAGAAACCACGTTGGAATGGCTCCCAATGTTTGGAAATGATAAGGATTTACAAAGAAATTCAAATCCCTGTCTGAGCTGTTATCAGGGAGCATGGGCAAAGTACAGAAGAAGAGGAAGGGCAAATTTTGGAGAGAAAGAGGTATAGGAAAGGCATAGACAAACTCCTGGAAATGGAAGATGAGAAGAACCAATACAATCTCTAAACGAGAGGCCATGGGGACTTAAAATCAGACTGGAAAGCACTGCAGAAAGCCTTCTAAAGGGTTCCTTTACCATGTGCGATTTTGATTCCAGTTAATAAGATCCAGAAACAGAGGAGAGGGTGAGCACACACAAGGTCCTGAATTCAATTCTCAACAAGCATGCACACACACACACACACACACACACACACACACACACACACACACACACACACACACACACAGGAGATGTGTGTACAGATGGAGAGGAGGGTAGATATGATACTAACATTTCTCAGATCAATACGTTGGAACATGATTCTGAATTTAATTATCGGTTAATCAAGCCAGCATGGTAGTGGTGAGGAATGGATGGATTGAAGCATTTGTCAGTGAAGCCAGGAGAGCTGAGAAGTAGAAGCCTGAGGGGCTTTTGTTGGGAGCACTTTCAGAAACCCACTGTGTGCCAACACCCTCTGGCTCCTACGTTGCTGTCCAGGGGCTCACTTGTTCTCTACACAGGATCTGTCTTGAAATGTTCAAGAAGAGTCATGAAATTTTAGTAAATTTTAGGCAACCATACAACCAGAGGGGCCCTTTATCAGTACACTTATTTTCTAACTTCTCT